TGATACGCTAAAAACTGTTTGGGAAATACAGTTTTTCACACATTTTTTTTTTTGTTATGATTGTTGACACTTGTGAAATCACGAGGCGGCTTTCAATAAAAACACAAACATTTGACAGGTAGGAGCACTTTTAGAATATGCCTGCAGTAAAATCTGTGTTTTACCATTTAAAAGTGGTTGTTTGATGAAAAGATTAATATCAATAAGCTGACTAATTAGCCGTCGCCAATAGCGTTGAGCAAAAGTCGCTTTGAAATGACATTAAAGATATATAGGAAATGCTCTTGGGGGATTTACAGTGGTCGCTTAGGACAAAATTTGCTTAATACATGTGGTCGCATGGGCAAGTTTAAAGATTGTATTTTACTGATCAAGCTCAAATGCAAGTTTTCATAACTTCATGTTTCAAAAGTAGCAACTAAAGACCTGACTGCAAATAAGAAATCTAAAATGAAAAAGGGGTGTATCATTTGGGTACAGTTAGCATAAATAAGTATAAACTATAGACTCTATATATAGGTGAGCGATTTCAGGGCCATCATGGCCCTCTTGTTTAGATAATATTTATTATAGGGTATGTAAGTCTCGTCATGTGACTTGCGAGATTTCACGATATTTTGCACTTCCGGGTACAAACAAATATCAACAACATTGCTTATCTATATTGGGTAATACTTGTATGCCGGTGGGAAAGTAAAACTTGCACGGAAAAGCAAAGGATATGTAGAAATTGGCAGAGTGTTTTGTTTTGTAACGAAATGCAAATGGTTTCATCTTGTGAACAAGTATCAATGAAAGACAACTTCGTATAATCTTCAGGTGGGTGTGTCATTTCGAATTCAGTTTATCGCAATAAATGTTGTAATATTTTTCACGTCCATGTAAATCTAATAAATTTGTTATTTGATACAACATCATTCGCATCTGACCTCAGACTGGTGAATTTGATTTTATCAATTTTCTATAGCGCTACCTGATTATCTGTCAGAAGTATATAATGTTTAGAAATTTCGGACAGCGCATATTTCGGATAAAACGCTTCAATATGATTATCAGCGTGTTTTAGTGAATATATTTTCTTCTAACTGAAAATATTATTTATTATTATTATTATCTTAATAAAGCAAAAACAGTCAAGCTGTATATTACCAATTTAAATTGTCATAAAATTCAATGAAATATTTTGCTCCTGTAGATATTTAGACTGAGGACAGTGGTGAGATGAAAGACGTCAACTGGTATCCGATGTAAATACACATGCATGCTCTGCTGTAAAATCGTTTTGGTAAGAAATATATACTTAAAGCTACTTCAACTACATTAATGAAAAATAAATATTCTTTTATAAGATAATGTTCTCGTTTTTTTGTCAATAAATACAGTGTATTACAGTCCCAGCAAACACATGACGTTAAAATAACGTCGGATTAATGTTAGATTTTGGTCACGACGTCGGCGACCAAAATACGACGTAAATCTGACGTTAAAATACCGATGTCTAATAGACGTTTCTTTTTGACGTCGTACTAACGTCAGGTTCTGGTCGGTGTCTTGACGGTAGGTAAAAAAATAACAAAACATAATATTTATTCGCTGTTGTAATCATTTAAACTTTTTTTCAAATGTTATTTGGATTACAAATGAAGTGTTGTTATATAAATACAGACCACGTGCGCGGCGCTGCAACCTAATAAAACATAAAGGTGGCGCTGTATATAGGTTAATTACATGTGTTATTGTTATGCAATCTATTTATAGCCACAGATCTGTTTACAAGTTCCAATCATTTAACGTTATAATATTTTCATTTGTGGTACATTATATGTAACAAAATCACGAGTTTTTTAATAGTGCTTTAACATTTAATCATAGTGACAGAAAAGGGAAAGAAAACATTATTAACCTATAATTCGAATCTAAAGTCACGTGGATGGAAATTCAAATTCGTAGGCGTTACGTTTTGGCTGTCGGTCAGGAATCGGGATGCATTGATAAAGTGAATATTATAGATTTTCTTGAACAAAAAGGTCAGTTCAATTTATTTAGATTTATTTCTACTTTGTATTTGATAAATAATTGCATGATTGCAAGCACTCTTAAATTTAATTATCATTATTTGAACAGCTGAAGTAAAATGTCACACAAATTCGCGATAATGTCTAATAATAAATCTTTTTAAAATTGACATGTTTTAACTCTGCTTGTGAAGAGTTTATAATATGCCTTTCAGTACTACCAAAGAGAATGCTTAGTTTTCATATTTTTCTTAAACTGTGATGTTTTTGTCAGTTAAAATCTGAGAATTGAGAATGAATTTGTACGATTTCGAGCATTTCGGACCAAGACGTTTCGGTCCCAAATAACCCAAAACGTTCCGGTCCCAAATAACCCAAGACGTTTTGGTTCCAGACATTTCAAGATTAAATCTTTAATTTAAAACTATGAAATATTTAAGACTTGCGTAACTGTTCTATTTCAAACGTAGAATATATACATAAGTTAGAATATTATTTTCTTTTCAGGTAGTTAAAGTGTTGGACATGCTCTCAAAGGTCGGAGGGACGGAAACACGTGAATATGTAAAAAGAAACATATGAAAGTAAGATTTTTGTAAATTCTATTACATACTTTAGTCCATACTAAACTGGAGTTTAAAAGAGGCTTTTTAAATGTTCAGTATTTATGTTTACTTTTAAGTTTTGTTAAAGCTCTCTTATAAAAAGTTGGCAAAATTGTTCATTAAGTTTAGATAACCATGAAAACATTTTTGCTTGTTATTTTTACATGTTTCATAAATTTCTTTTTTTTTCAGTGAAAATGATGTCACACACGCTATTGGACGCTACAAACGCTACATATCCTCCGGACATACGAGGGGTGCTGAAAGAAGGTCAAATCTTAAAGCATCACACCTCAAAATTCGTGCTTATTCTCATGGATATCTTAAAGTATAACTTTGTGAAGTAACTAGAAGGCAGCAATTTATACATTACTGACAATTATCAAAGGAGGTCAAAATATGCAAAATGGCACTAAATGTTTTAGAAATGCTGTAGAAATATAGTTAAAATACTGAAAATCTGTCATTAATTGCTTGAAACATTATTATCAGAATCTTTTAACTTTTCTTAAAATTATAATATTTTCATTATTTTATTTGATAAGGCAAACTTTGATAGAAATGTGCATACATTGTTTTGTTCTTTAATATTTGTACATGTTTTCTTAGTTATTTATGTCATTGTTTTTGTAATACTTTTTGTTTTGTAATTAACTTATTTTATGTTTTATTTTGTTTAATTTATGAAAATTATTTAACCTTGCAGAATTTACTAAAATTGTATGTATCAGCTTAAAATTGCAACTTTTATTTTAAATTAAAAAAGCATAAAACATATTTTTGCTTTTAGTTTTCTGTTATACATTTCATTGGAGGGAAAGTTACTTAATAGAATGAGTTACATTAAATTCGATCAAATCAGGATTAGCCAGAAAATATTTATGACGTGGTGAAACAAAAAAGATTAGGGGAATGATCAGATGAAGGTCAGAAAATGATCAGATTTAGGGCAGAAAAGGGTTAATATTTAGGTCGGAAAATGGTCAGATTGAGGTCGGAAAATGGTTAGAAACTGGTTAGATTTAGGTCGGAAAATGGTCAGATTGAGGTCGGAAAATGGTCAGATTGAGGTCGGAAAATGGTTAGATAATGGTCTGATTTTGGTCAGAAAAAGGTTAAATAATGGTTAGATTCTGACGTCTACCTGACGTCAGATTATTACGTCAAAAAAACTTTCAAATCCAACCGTTTTTCCGACCGTCATCCGACGTCAGAACCTGACTTAAATCTGACGTCAGTATAACGTCTTGTGTTTGGTGGGGTGTAGCTCAATAAACAAACAGTATGGTTAATATAGTTAATTCATGTTCAATACTGTTTGAGGTATTTTTCTCAAGTAAGTGTGTCATATTTTTTAGTTAAATCATGTTCAGTAAATGGTTAAAAGAACTTAGTCACTATCACAATTTTTTAAAGATCAGTTGTCAAAGCAAATCTACAAAAAATAGGACACTAAGAAGTGTTTCTTCCTTTTCAACATTATTTTCAATTCATGACAATATGAAAATGATTGAATTATTATTGCTTTCAACTCATGATAAATTTTCTTTATATGCAGGTATGTGATTTCATGGTTGGATCTTGAGTACTTGTCATGGCTCTTGATTTATTTTGGAGTGTTCACCATCAGATTAGAAACCAAATAGTGAAACCAAATAGTGATACCACCAGACATAGTTGAAAGGAAATGTCCATACAAAGTCTTGGAGTACATAGTGGTAGAGACATGGCAGTCCATTACAGATTTTGACTGAATTAAAGCTTCTTAAAGCTCCATGCCTTGTGTAAACTGTCTGACTGAATGTTTGTATTCAAATAAAAACTAAGGTTGAAGACACTTCAAAGATATATGTCAGTGTAAAAATGTTAAACAAAATATCTGTCTTTGTTAGAAATAAATAACCTGTCATTTGTAACTTTGTATTAACTTAATTATTCAAAGATAATTTATCTTTTGCAAATGGCTGTCCAAAACAGTTTCAACCAGGCATCATGTAGTTTCAAAACAGTTAAGATAAAATTGTTTTAAATAGACTCATAAGATGACAAGAATGGTAAAAAGATAATTGATCTGCATTAAAATGTTTCTATCTTGATTGAGTTTCATTTCATACTATCACCATGATCACTGCAATTGTAAAAGTAATGTAATCTATAACCATCATTTAAATATCATAAAAATCATCTCAAAGAAGAACTTGTTTCTGAGGCAAGATGTGTAAATTTCCTTCCAGTAATAGCCTATCACTGCTCTTAGAAAAGCCATGATTTGCATTGTACATGGCAGGTAGTAATACCAGAGTAAACAATATTAACGCAATTCATCTGTGTTGCGTATTATGTAGCAAAACACTAGCTTGCTAGCCCTTGAAAGCCCAAGTCTGTCTCTTAATCACAAAATTGGAGAAGACTTGCAATTCTGCATTCCTTGAAAGATTTTAGTGTCAGAGGGACAGTTATTACATACCATATACTTCTTTGGGTTTTAAATTACCTGTTTTATAATGTATTGAACCTGTTGACATTTGACCAAAAGTGAATTATCTATTCAAAACAAACAAAACTTAGGGTTTGCACTTGATACAAAACAATTACATCACTGGTACATTAATATACCCATTGGGATGTTTCAAAATTGTCAATGTTTTAAAAAAAACACACAATGCTTTTAACTTTTGTCCATGTACATATGAGTAAATGTAGTCATTGAAGAGCTGTCAAGAACTTTTCATCAATATTATTTAGATAGTGTCTGTTTCGATTTTAGGACAGACAAAATTCAAATGACATGCATAGTATTTACTATAGTCAATGCTTGCATATTCAAGCAATTTAGCCATTGCTGTTAGAGAATTAAAGTACACAGTGACACTTATTTTGCAGATGAACCCTTATGATCAAGCACTGCTATAAATATATGCCAAATAGTAGAAACAAAAAAAAACAGTTCATAAGTTTGATAAACTTTTATTTTTACACAATTTATAGTGCACTGCTTTGCAACTATATCACACTGATATTCCAGTGGAAGAAAAACTTCAGGAAAGCACTTGAAATTATTATTAGTTATTTCAACAATGTAACTTTACACTGTGAATGTCTACCTATACAAGAATAAGAATATTTCCTTTTGCAAATGTAAAGACTTTGAAAATTAACATGAACAAATTATCATAGAGTTATAAATCATATTCTAATTGAAAAATTATCAAAGCTTTGAATGCAAATTTGTGAGCTTATCAATGATTACCTCGCAATATTAGTAGTAGATGATATATAATATTTTTGCTATTTCGTTTTCATCTTTACTTCATTATCATTTAATGTCCATAATTACATATGACTATACTGTGATTCCTTGAAAATCCTTAATTATCTCTTGTGTGTTTTTTATCCTGGTATTTATAGAACAACTAGTTTTAATACTTAAAACTGCAATGAAATGTGGATATATTACTCTGTTTCTATCATTGTGACATTAACAAGATAACTACATTATGGAATCATAGTGTCAAACACCATAAAATCATACTCTTTTACATCAAGATTTTTGTGCTGCATGTCATTCATCTTCTTCAGGAAAGTACATTTGACTATTCTCAGTGGCTTTATATATTAAACTGATATTTCACTGTAACTGTGTGTTCTCTGATATCATTCTCAAATTAAGGAACTGGAAGATGGTAGTTGCAATAAAGGTCTTCATGGACAAATTCTCCTTCATCTCTTTCCTTATCTGCAGAATGAAAAATCAATAAACATGTTAAACCTGAATATATTTCACTGAGTAAAACACTAGAAATGATATTTACATTAGTCTAAATAAGCTGGACATGATTGACAGAAAATTTCATATTTGAAGTAAATAAACATTAAAGATAAACAACAACACATACATGTAATATATAACAGTCAAAAATATTGATCTTCTTCAATGTGAAACATGACTGTTTTTCATGTTTTATTTACTTATCAATTATCATGCCGTGAAATCCAAAAATTATTAAAATATTTTGATAATTGTTTATCTTTCCAATCTCAACTAAAAATTAATCAATTATTTTACATGTATTTACCTTTGATGTATAGATATTTAAGGATCATAGGCAGTGCAAACTGTTGATTAATAGTCCATAGTGAACAACTGTATATTCTATACTTGTCATATACCTCCCTGTCTACACATCTGAAATGGTTTATTCAAATATTATAATTTTTTAATTCAATCATAATTTGCTAGGTACCATATTTACATGTATATATTATTGAAAAAGGAAGACAATAAAAAAAAATAAGTGTTATATATATATAGTGCCTTGATACTATTCTCCATAGTTAGAAATGGAACAATACTATTAAACTTATCCATCTAATTATTTAATTATCAAACTCTTACTTGGGACCTGGGTTTATTATACTAATGTAAGTAATTGAAATCTTGATAAAATGGAAGGGATGAAATATCCGAATTACTGTTCAATGTCCGAATTTTGTATAACTTTAATATACACTAGAATTAAAGTGTTTCTCAATTGTTTATTTCAATAAGTTAAAATGGTTTGAATAAATTTCTCACATCAGTAGTTTAAAACAATACTAAAAGCTAAACAACTAGAATTCACTACCTTGACAAAACATCCGAAACAATTGTCACTATCCGAAAACAAACTAGTTTTATTTAACTCTATAAATCCCTCGTTTTTCCGTCAGATAATTGACCTACCTGCATTTTTTGACCCGTGCTTTCCATTCCATCAAATCTGAAGAGGACCGAAACAAATTTAACTTCTATATCTCTCGAGTTCTTCGGGTTACCTATATGCGTAACGGTAAATAAGTCTGCCGATGTACCCGGAAGTGGTAAATCGAAAGTGAAAGTAAACGAGACTTACGGGCCCTATTGGCACACAGTAAAAATACCAATATTACTGTATACAATAGATATTTTTGAAAATTACTAAATTATTTGAAATAAAACACAATTATTTGTTTTATTAATTATGTTTTAGGAGATAGAAAGACTCAAGTTAGAAGATTCTCCTCAACAGAAACAGTTAGAATATAAAAAGGCAAAATCAGGTATGTTATATAGAAAATGAAAGAGTGAAATCAGGTACGTAATATAGAATAGGAAAAGGTTAAATCAGGTATGTTAAATAGAATATGACTATGAATAGGACTATATTGTACAGAATTTGAAAAGACTAAATCAGGTATGTTATATATTATTGAAAAAGGCTAAATCAGGTTTGTTATATATTATATAAAAATGCTTAATCATGTATGCTACATAGAAAAGGGCTAAAATAGAGAAAATAAGAATCCCTAAAGAAAGCCCAAAACGACAACATTAAAATTGTCGCAGGCTTGGTTTGATTGAGCTTGTTCATGGACGGTACTGGTAAGTGCAAACTACCGTCCACGCCCCTAGCACTGGCTTAAGCAGAAAGTCAACATTTAAACATAAAATGATAAAAATTTTGCATTTAGAAACATCCGTAGATATGTTCATATGGCGGTTTTTAATGCGACACTTCCGTACCATTCCATGAAAAGCCATGTATGGTCCCCAAGTATTAGAAAGCGTGTGCCTCGAGTATTTTATATAAAATATGAAAAGGCTAAATCAGAAATGTTATATACATGTAGATAATGAAAAGGCTTAATCAGGTATGTTACATATAATATGAAAAAGGCTAAATCAGGTATATTATATAATATATGAAAAGGCTAAATCAGGTATGTTATATAATATATGAAAAAGGCTAAATCAGGTAGGTTTTATAATATATGAAAAGCTAACTCAGGTTTGTTATACAGTGTATGGAAGGGCTTAATCAGTTATGTTGTACAGAATTTGAAAAAGGCTATCAGGTATGTGATATAAAATATAAAAAGGCTTAATCAGGTTTGTTATATAAAATATGAAAAAGCTAAATCTGGTATGTTATATAAAATATAAAAAATTAATCAGTTATGTTATATTATAGAGTATGAAAAGGCTAAATCAGGTATGTTATAAGGCTAAATATGTAATGTTACATAGAATATGAAAAAGCTTAATCAGGAATGTTACATATGATGTTATATATTACATGAAAAAGGCTGAATCAGGTATGTTATATATGAAAAGGCTAAATTGGATATTTTATGCAGGATATGTAAAGGCTAAATCAGGTATGTTATATACTGCAGTCTGGGAAATAAGGCACACCTCGATGCCATAGGCGAGAAAAATCCCACTTGGGCCTCCAAAAATCCATAGCAAAAATGTAAACCCGAAGTACGATTTAATTTGGAATGTGTCTTCATACAAAATGAGTTTCAGTTTCAATTCTTTTGAGACTGGAGATAAACTTTTGTGGTTGTGTTACTTAGGGTTATTCATTTATAGAATGCAATGCTTCTTTTGTTGATATTTGTTTTCATATTTTAAACAAAGTAGAAAGCAGTAGATTGACAAGTAAAGTTAAGTATATATAAACAGAAATAGAGAATTTTATTTAAAAACTGGCTGACTGATATACAGAGCTTGTGTGCCTACATTAAACTGTTGTCTTTATTTTGCACAATAAGTGTTTTGGGCCTGTGATAATCTGTCAATGCAGGTCCATACTAATTTTCTGTATTATTAACTCATTGATTTGTCCTTAACAAACAATTTGATGTCATATAATCATTTAAATTACAGAACGGCGGAAAAAGCTGATTGAACAGTATCACAAAACCCTGCTGCAAGTTCCTACAACACCTTTACAACCAAAAAGTGAAAAATGTAGCTTTAATGAGATTTATATTAGACCCAAAATAACGAGGAAATAAAAGGAGAGAAAGGGGAGACAAATGAAGTGAGGTTAAAACAATGTCAGAAATCTTCACAAAAGACGGAGTCCCTCAAAAATCTGTATATGTTCTAGGAGATGCAGGGTCAGGAAAAACTAGTTTTTTGTAAATATCTGGTCAACTTATGGTGTTTGGCACACAGTGAGGAACATGAAGATGACAATGAAGATGAAGATGGCAATGGTAAACCTGAAGGTGACAGTGAAAAACATGGAGGTGATGGTAAAAAACATGGAGCTGGCAATGAATTGAAGGTGGCAGTAGTGAACCTGAAGGTGACAGTGGAAAACATGGAGGTAATGATGAAAAATATGGAGGGGTCAATGAAAATGAAGATGGCAGTGGTAAACCTGAAGGTGACGGTGAAAAACCTGTAGGTGATGGTGAAAAACATGAAGCTGGGGGTGAAAATGACAATGAAGGTGGCATTGAGAAAACAAGGAGGTGATTTGGAAGAACATGAAAAAAAGGGAAGTGACATTGTAAATGAAGAGGTAAAGGGGACACATAGTGGAGACATTGGAACGAAGAGGGCAGTAAGACACATGGAGGTGTTAATGAGAAAGGAGGAGAAAAACATGTGGGTGGCATTAAGAAAAATGAAAGTGATAGTGACGACTCTGATGGTGACTTAATACACTCCGAATCCGATAGTGACAACTCTGATACTGAATTAACAGACTCTGAATTTGACAGTGATGACTCTGAATATGATAGCAAAAATTATGAAGTTAAATTCAATGGTGTAACAAAGATGAAGAAAATTATTTTGATATCGAATCCTCTTAGCAGTACAAACATGAACTATCCGAAAATCTCTAAAACTATCAAATGAACATGTGACACACACTCTGGTAAGAATCTCTAGAAGTATGATTTGCTTGATGGCTTTAGATGAAGGCTCGAAAATGTCCAAGAAATAGCATCTTTAGGAGTCACAATATAACTACTTAGGTCATCGAAATTCAACATTAAGAAATCAATGATGTGAGTTGACCACATTAAACTGAAAGGTTTGATTTAGATGTGAATGGAAATGTCAATAGACAGTCTCACGAATTAATTAATAAGACATGCAATAAAGAAGTAGAAGACTGAATCGAAAAGCGAAGAAAGCTCTTAAAAGTTTCAAAACAGGTACTAAATTTATGCCTACAATAACAATGAATAGTTAGGTTTGATGTAAACTCGATAAAACCCAAGAGCCTCGACACCGATTTAGAGTTATTCTTACACCTGAATGACATGAAAACACAGGAACAAGTATATATCGACACATAAGGGTACAGAAAGTAGATTACTAAATATCTAGCGAAAAACCAAATAAAATTAAACCGCATTTATATGAAAATACGGTGGCATGAGACTATTAATAGTCGAGAGGGATAAATCCTTGACATTTGACATTGTATCTGATAACTGAAATACAGAAAGTAAGAGAAAATTGCTTAAACTGGGAATAAGACAGAAGATGACTGTCAAGTATCTGTAAAACCATCAAGCTCATGTTCTATTATTCACAAATCAACAAGAATTGGCTGCAGTGAAATATGTATAATCATTCAATGCAAAATGTGTCACAGATAGTAAGAAATGTGAATTACCAAATATTTATTAATGAGGTTTCAGAAATGTTCACACGTAAAGAAATATTAGAGCATCAACATTTATCCATACTCTATATGGTCTAGAACATCATATAGCAACACATTCAAATACATAATAGATATTGGTAAAAACTTCTTGTGTTCAGAAACAGAGAACAATAAAGTGTGATTTTTTGATGAAATTAGTAAGGATATTCAAGTTAGAAAGTATTAAGTATCAAAGGTTAGTTGAGTCAATCGACGAATTCAATCAGCATTATAAAGGTACTAACTGTATTTATAGGTAGATTTATCATTGAAAAAGGGTCGGATTGTGATATTGTTTGTTCAAGTATTGATCAGAAACACATTGTTCCTGACTCTTTTCTGTCTATTAGGGTAGATGAAATCAACACAAAAAATGTTAAATTTACAAAATATTTACCAATGTTTCATCACCTTGAAAAAATTGTAATAAAATATGGATATGAATCACAAAGGTTATTTAGTACACAAAGTGATAGTACACAGAGTAATGAACAGAGGATTAATGAGATTAACAATTGTGTTTCTGAGACAATTAAAGTAAATACTTCAACATTAAAATCTCTGTCTCTTGATGTCTATTCCTCTGACAAGTATTACCCAGTGTGTAAAACAGTTGTTAGTTACCTACCTAGTATGATCAATCTTGTAGCAATAAGAATGAGTGATATAACAATGAGTCATGGTGATACTACCGCATTTTGTAATTTTCTTGAGAAAACCAGTCATCTTGAAAAAATACATATTGTTCAAGTTGAATGTGAGTGTGAGAACCAGCATGATGTAAATTTATCAAAACATCAACATCTTCAGTACCTTTATTTGATTAATGCTGTTAAGTGATAGATTGATACTACAAACCTGAATTTTTAAATTGATCAATGAAAAATAGTAATTATGAGAAAATATTGATATATTAAAAAATTTACAAATTAAAGAACCTGAATAATGAGATAGAAACAAAACTAATTATAATCATACAAATAAAAGAACATGTCAAAAAAGTATACCTGATGCAACAATCTCGAAGGCTGATTATGTGTTGAGATGTATGACAATTAAATAGTACTTAGAGATGAAGAATTAAACAACATTAACTTGTGTGTTATAAGAGTTTGACACATGGCAGAAGCTTTTTATAGTCTTCTATAATTCTCAATACTGTAAATGTGTGTGTTAACACGTTATATAACAGAATGTGAGTAATTATGATATGAGGTAAATTGAAATAAAGGAGAAGAAATAGCTAACAGATGTAAAATAAGGATCAGTTATTTCATGTTGAACATGATTATGGTAATGCGTTAATGTTTTCAACAAAAAAGTGATATAGGATGCATGAAGTGAACATAGTGAGATGATTATTTGGTTTTTCATTTTCGACAAAAAAAATATATCGAAATTATCCGAATTGTTAACATAGTGAGGGAGAATACATGCAGTAAACGTATTGTTTAATCTTAATTATTTCATGATAAAAGACATATAAAAGTAGACTTTTCATTATCAGCAAATAAGTAATACTAAAGTTACATATTGATAAGTTAAATAATGAATGTAATGCAATATGATAGATAACAATCATTAAAAACAGTTGAACTGAAATATTAATTTCTGGTCATTGTAATAATATTGAAATTGATGAAAGTAATATTCAAATGTGTATTTCACTAAAAAATGAAAGTAATATTCAAATGTGTATTTCACTAAAAAATGAAAGTAATATTCAAATGTGTATTTAAATGAATAAATAAATGAAAGAAATGCAGTGACATATAGGTAACTGTTTTTTTAAAGATCAGGGATAGTTTGTGAAAAGTATAATTTGAAAAAGTAAAAGGTTCTTTGAATAATAAATACATAAATAGATAAATAGATTAGCAAGTAGATAAATTAATGAATAAGTAAATATAATAAGTAATTTGAATGGAAATATCATAATGTACAAGGTCAGAAAAAGTAAAAGATAAATATAACATTCAAATACCAGTTATATTATGTAATATATGATAGGATAAAGGAATGGTATATGTAAATACCGGTTATATGAGAAATATGTCAAGAAAATGGTATATAGGACAAGGGAATGGTATATATTAATACCAGTTAAATGATATATAGGACAATGGAATGGTATATAGGAATACCAGTGATATAATGTACAAGGTCATAAAAAGTAAAAGATTAATATAACATTCAAATACCAGTTATATTACATAATATATGTATAATGGACAAGGGAATGGTATATATGAATACCGGTTATATAATATATAAGACAAGGGAATGGTATATATGAATACAAATATTTGATATATAAGACAAGGAATGGTATATATCAATACAGTTATATGATATATAAGACAAGGGAATGGTATATATAAATACAGAAATATGATATATAAGACAAGGGAATGTATATATAAATACCAGAAATATGACATTAAGGACAATAGAATGGTATATATAAATAGGACAATGGAATCGTATATATAAATACCTGTTATAATGATATATAGGACAATGGAATGGTATATATAAATACCTGTTATATGATATATAGGACAAGTAATTTGTTTCATTGAGATGAGGACCATTTACATGTTATATTTTAGAGATTTCCTTCTTTGATTGTTTTATATTGTAAAGATTGTAAAAATTTACAAATTGCAATTATGGAAAAACCATAAATGTGTACAAGTTAATACTGTTAGTTAGTATTATTCAAACAGTAACAGTAAGGGTTCACAGAATATTTTTAATTTTCTTGACATGAAAACGGAATTATGTCTGTTAGAGTGTCATACTATTAAGAAATATATTATCTTCAAATTGTAAAAAATGTTATAAATCAATAGCTCATTTGTTTCAAAAATAAAGTAATAATATCTGTATTACAATGAATACAATGCTATAATAGACTTCCGCATTGGGGTCAATTGAGGGTTACTGTATGTGTGCAAGTTGGTAACTAAAAAACCTGAAGAAAATTTAATGACATTCTTGTTTTACAGATAACACACAAATCCATACCTCTCATATTTTCCTCATATTTATTCGCTTTACTACTTTAAACAAAATCGGTAAGTTTACGTAAAGAGTGATTAAATTCACACACATAATAGAGAGTACTAGAAGTCATGTCAGAAAATATTTAAGAAATATTTCTTTTGAATTAGAAAATATCGCATACCATCACTGTGATAGTCAAGCACAATGTGATGAATGGTTTAATTTTATAGCTAAATCCTCTGAAAATTACACTTAAATAAATGGATTTCATTTATTCTGAAGTATATACTTAAGTATTTTTTGTATGAATACCGATATGTTTGGCTTATTTATTTTTATCTTTATGTTTGGATTGACTCAGATGGAGCTCTTAAGTAATCTTTTGTCTGAGTTAAAGAGATAATTAACACTAGGCAAGTAAAGATACATGGTAAATTTATATGATTAAACTGTAACTACATAGACAGTATACAAATTTTAATCAAAACATTAACACACAAGATAAATAATTATATAACTTTCATACATATCCTCATAAAAGTACAATTAATCAAAAATACATGCTGTCAGTGCAAGGCTATGACATCTTCAAATTGATTGCTTAAATGCTTCGAGATAAAATCTTATAACCAGTTAAAGTTTTTCTTGGCTCTGATATTTATCGTATATAAAGTCAAGATAAATAGTTATAAATATCAGAACAATGTCACTCATTCTTATTATAATAATCTGATTGAATGTTATAATTAGATAATAATGTAAAATATAAACAGTTAATAAAGTGTAATTTGTACATGGTAAACTATCATCATATGAATCCTTTGATTAAAAAAATAACTATTAATATAAAGATACTAGTTTTGTAACAGTAACTAACATAATTTTTCAACAGTTTAACACCTGTTCTTTTTTAAAGGCCCCAAATAAGCCTTAAAAATGCCCAAACAAACTTTAATTTTTTTGTCTAAAAAAAGTTTTCTTATTGACCAATATATAGCCATATTAAAATTTTTTGATTTTTGCAATAGAAAAAGGGTTTTGATGAAAAAAGTATTTTTTAAAGGGTAAGAAATAGCCCTTTGTTACTGTTTTTAAAACCCCCCAAAAAAAGTTTTTTTTTTCAAACCCCCAAAGGTTTATAAAAATATCCATGTTTTAAATCTAATTTTTTAAAACAAATTTAAAACAAAAATTTTTTTCCTCTTTTTCAAAAAAAAAATAATTTTGGGGTTATGTCCTTTAAAAAAAAATTTGAATGTTAAGTAAATTTATCTAGTAAAATAATACACAAAAAATTTCAATTTAAGAAATTTTTATTAAATGTTATTTGGTACATTATTAAAGAAGGTTTGTGGGTTTTATTTTAGAAATGGGTTTTTCATATAAACACAACAATTAAACATGTTTGTTACTTGGAATAAAAAGCTTTATATTTCCAGTACATTTGTAAACATATAATTTACATGTACTAATAACAAATCTATATGGCCATATTTATGTTTAAATATTTCTATATGAAGCAATGATAAGTTCATGCTAGAATATGGTATGTCAATTATACATTTTTATATATTAACTATGTCTGTTTAGTGAATATTGTATGATTAAATCCATCTAGTACATTTGTAAACCTTTAATTACATGTACTTGATAACACATATATTTTGGCCATGTTTATGCTTAAACAATTCTATATGAAGTTAAGATAAGTTCATGCTGGAATATGTCAATTATACATATATATAAAACATGACTGTTTAAAACTTGAAGTGTTTATGGAAAACAGTATTCAGTATATGATCTTATCATGGAAGCTTCATAGACAGCATTGCTATTATACTTTTTTTTTGTTATTAATGTAGTACTTTTAAAATAGAACATGTTTGTTTGATTGGTTTTGACAGCATGAATGTGTGACTTTTCTTAATAAAAGATTGTACAAAATTGATTTGTGAATCATTTGTTTTTCCCTCTCTTACAGAACAAGTTGGGGGTATAAAACTTGTTAAAAATCATTTCCGACTATTTCCATATATAGCAAAGACTAAGCTGCCAGTACATCAATAATGTACTGTACTAGGAATGAGACATTGATTTTGTGATGAATTCCATTTGATCATAAATCAGGTAGCCATACATATAAATTAGAATTTTGAAAATGTGCGGCTTTAAAACAAGTTTTCTGTTTTCTTATAAATTGATCACATGAATGGGTGTAACATTTTACAAGGTTACGTTCATTACCATCCACACGTCTTTGCACTAATTACTTTACCTGTAATAAAGGACAAAGGGACACCTATTTACTATACCTGTAATAAAGGACAAAGGGACACCTGAGGTCTTCTTCAATCAAAAGAGCTGGAAAGTCGTCTTGTGATCTGTTAAAAATAGCGAGTTTTTGGCGTTATTTTAAAGGAAAGGCCTACATCGACTTAACCTGTAATAAGAAATGCAGCTCCCGAAAGACAATTTGAGCATTCTCTTGTTCAAAAATCCGGAAAGAAAGTGATCCCTCGGAAGCATTAATCACAACAAAATTACATAAGAATTGCAGACTCGGTTTGATTGAGTCTGTTCATGAGGGATACTGAAAAAGAGCAACTTCCTCACGCCCCCTAGCACCGGCTTAAGCGGTACTCGATTCTCAACACTTAATAGTGCTGGTATCAATGATCCCGAAGAACCAGAAAAATAATGTATAATAACACGGAATTGAAGAACAGGGCAACTTTTTACAACTGCCACACAGCACTTGACACCTGCTGTTGTGAAGTAATAAAAATCCGACATAAACCTTTGGTAGAATTAAAAGTATTTTGCCCAAAGATGATCGAGTCTATTATATCTTTATTTTTTTCTGAAACCGACCTCGGGTCATTTAACCCTGTATGGTATGGAACATGATATCATATAATTGCAGCTGTAATTATTTTCCTATTCTTTATTTTAAGTTGTAAACTGTTCGTGTTCATTAAAATAAATATTCCACAGAATCAAACGGGTGATAACAGGTTTTGTTTGTTTGTTTGTTTCATTTTACGCTTTTTCCCCAACAATATTTCAGTCATATAGGCGGGTAATTTCCTAACCATCGTTCCTGGATAGTTACACCAGTACTAAAATTCCTCCGTGCTAAACTATCAAAGCATCTCCCGGGGATCGAACCCACGCCAGACAAGTAACTGGATTAGACTCTAACTCCTCGACCACGGAGGCAGTGAAAAAGCAGGTACTAATTTCTTAAGTTATAGTTTTGTGGAGGATCTGCTTGTGAATTGTGTATAGGTGCAAATGTATGATGATAATAATTTCAGTATAATTATGTATAATAATGATAATGAAGATATCAGTATTATAATGAAGATATCAGAATAATAATAAGAATATGAGAATGACAATAAAGATATTGGAATGACAATGAACTTGATAAACAAATTTATCCTGTCACTTGTATCAATTTCGGCCCGATAACAAGGTGCCGTATATTTTTACTGATCTACGGCACTTGATCACGTGGTATGCATGAATGGGCACCTCTTTGTCGAACTACTTTTCAAGAAAAAATATAATTATTGTTATAATGTTGGACTTTATGTTTGGTGGTTAAATTTCAAATTTTTCATGAAAATAAGCTTTTTGTTTGGTGGTTAAATTTCAAAATTTTCATGAAAATAAGCATAAATCTGAAGGCATGCTGCTTTAAAATAGCGTACTTGATTTGATTGTTTTGCACGTGCTGTTTGGCGCTACATTGTGACGTCACGTAAACAATACTTTAAACGTCTGTACAGCGTTAACGACTGAATAAAAGATATTGGTGTTCGAATTCATTTTCTTAGTTAGACCATTTTCTTCCATTCTAGATAGTTTTCACAACAAAATTCGACAAAAAATTGTTTATATTTCTCACATTTTTCAAACAAAATGGCGCCCTCAATGTGAAAATACACAGGGAGATAATAAGAATGGCGAGTGCATTATTGTAGAATAATGCACGCTTCGGGCCTTCTTTGTTTATATAGAAACATTTTCGATAGTGTGATTAAAGGTAGTTTGTCTAATAAAATTCTTTAAAAAAAAAAACGGTGACAGGATAAATAGAATAATAGATTGGTGCCGTGGATGGAGAAAGTTTATCTGGCTCTGCTCCGGAATTTATTGGATTCGCCTTCGGCTCACCCAATAAATTCCTCCGCCTCGCCAGATAAACTTTCTCCATCCACGGCACCAACCTATTATTCTCTATATCTTTATTATCATTCTGAAATCTTCATTGTCATTCTGGTATGTTTATAATCATTCTTTTATCATCATTTTCATTCTGAGATTTTCATTGTTATCTTGACTTCATCCAAAAATATTTGCAAAAAAAGTAAACATAAATATATTCATAACTGTTTAAACCAGGAGACCTATTTTGACCAGTTCCGAACACGTACATGTATTTTTGATGACGGACTGTACCCAACTGAAAACGTTTCAGCGTTTTCTTATTAGAAATAAAATGTTCTTTAATGTTGAAATATATGAATGAATATATGTAAGAAAGTGTGCCAACATTTCATTTGAGGTATATGTATAAAATTATAATCATTTATTTAAAATGCGTTTACTGTAGGCCACTATATATATATAATATAGTAGGAAAGTCGTTACTTAAAATATCCTACCATGTTATTATTTTATAAAAAGTACTGTACGTGTAGTGTAATATTAATATACATTTATCTCTGAAAACTGAATAATGAAATAAAATGCAGAATATAGATCAAAACAAAACATGGACATGGATGTCTGTGTCAGTGTTGACAGATATTATTTAAACTAAAGATGAACGTTTGTCAGTATGGACAAAATTAAAAACATAGATTATCTATAAAAAGTATTTACCAGTAATGGGACTAGAATGAGTGTTGTTCAAGCATTATTGCAAAACAAAAACTTATTTTCATCTTGGACATTGTATACGATCCCTGTTTTAAACAGAACTTACCAGAAATAATGACAAAATCAAATGCATGCAATGCAATTGCAGTTCTGCTTCATCTCACGCCAAGCATGGTGGTGCTTTAAAGTTTAAAATACCATATACATGTATACCCAGAATGAATATTAAAATAATAAATCAGACTGAAAGTTTGTAGTGTACTTACTTAGTTTAAGTATTAGCTCGCAAAAATAGTCAAATATTACAAATGGCATTTGTAACGTTATGTGCACCGGAACTTGCTTCGGAACTGGTGAAACTAACCAGATTCAATCAAGCAGTATTCTTACTAGAAAAAGATAATATATTTCCTAATACTTGTTAGGCTTGAAGTCGAATCAAATATCAACTAGCTAGCAGGTACATTTTTTAAACCAACTTTTTGTTAATTTGTAAGCAGACACCAAACGTTGAAAAACTGAACCGGAACCGGTCAAACAAATGTATCACATTTTTATTAGATTTATTTTATAACAAAGTAACAGATATATTGTAATTTTTTTAACAAAAAGAAAATGCTGAGGCCATTATTATACTTAATTTTATTGCATTAAGAACACATTTACGGAAACGCTATATAATTTTATGTAAATCATTATATAATACATTTTACCATTGTGTTTTTTAGTTAATATAGAAAAACAATCAAAACAAAATCTATTATTTTTTTAAAAGTCCAAAGTTTTCATGCTATTTTTGCCTCATTATTTAGAAAATTAGAAATCTATATAGCCATAGAGGGAAAATACATTAACTACTGGTAAGTGAAGGACAATATTTAGTGTTGTGAGGCCTTTGTGAATCGCGCATGCGCTGTAAAATTGAATAAAATATCAATATGGCGGAGGTTAGTCCAGGCTAAGATTTTCTTAAAATTTGAAGAAATTGATGTAAGTATCTTTTAAATCTTGTAGCCGTTATGTTACATATTTTATACTGAAACGAAATGATTACTTCATGAAACAGAAATAACTAATGTGCCAACACAAATTACAAAAAGTTAACAATTAAAAACGAAAGTAGATTTATGAAAAACTGGGGGAATTCCCACATTAGGCTAATAATTATAGATGTTTTCAAATGGAAAGGTAACATCCATTTATTAAGCATTTGTAAATCATGTTTTTTTATCTGAAATCATAATTTTGAGGAATACTTTATTAAACTAATTTTATTAGGATTTGATAATTTACCAAAAGCATAGGAACGCAGATCGCGGCGCATATTTTCGATCACAGGGGGCCCACACAGTGTTTGGATGGTATATACTGCTTGATAGTGACCTTAAAATGAGATTTTAGTCATAACCTTATAATATGTATATAAATATAGACAAGGGGCATTACTCGCTAAATAGAGAATTTTCGATCACCCTCAAATTCATGCGAGATTTTCCACTAATTAAATAAAAAAATTCCAAAAACTATACTGCGTTGCATAGCTTATATAATCCACAATTGATAAACACTAAATCTATTCTGATTCCCTTAGCCCATTTTAAGAAATTTATTCAAAACCGTTCACTTCTGTCACAAAATTGCTTAGTCGTACGAGATGTCGCAACACCAAATTCCACGGGTAAAATATCAATTTTAAAATGGGGAGGTACAAATAAACGCATGCAAACAATAACACAACATAGTTTCTATTACCTACCTGCGCAAATAGTCGTTTAGCGCTCTATATTCGTCTGTTTCGAACGAAATCTTCAAATCAGAGCAGAAATCTGCTTTGACGTAGACATCTTGGGGAAACCCCGGTCACGTGACCAGCCGGTGTATCGAGACCTTTCATTGGTTCGGTAGGAACTTTGTTTATAACTACAACCAATGAAAGGTTTCCATACACCATGACCAGTCCGTAGCAAAACAACAACAACAGGGTAAATGGAACCTGTGTTGAACTTAAACCTATAGTTTACGTGAGGAATCTGTGTGACTGGACCGAAATTGATAATACTCTTTTCTTTTTGGTACTTATTAATCTTTTTGGTGTTTGGTTTATAATTGGGTAGAATAATGCACGGGCACGAGATTTTCATGAGTATTTTCGCGGTTTTAAATCATTCGAGGTTTACTACACAGTTCGCAAGGTTCACCAAATTGTATTGCAATAACTCGATGAGCGAGGAAGAGGATTGACTTCCCAGAGGGGACATCATAAACGAGGAAAATGGAACGCCTTCGACTCCAGTGAGAAACGACATTTCGTCTCAAATAGAACAGGCTTTGGATAAACAGAGAGGCTTAATCTTAGACGAGCTACATGTAGAATTCAGATTTGGGAATTTCGGCGGCAATAAAGCGGCTAACGCAGGTACTTTTGATTTCAAAACAGATTCTTGTAAAAGACAGTTTAATTTCAACTCTGAACGCCTGAACAATTTGAATAGAATAGAGGCTTTGTGTGACTTCAAAAACGTTTCTGCCATCAAAGATATTGCTCATAACGAAGCCTTGGAGATTCGTAAACGAAACAAGCTGTTAAAAATTGCCGACAAACATGGCTGGGATACCGTCAGGGAATATGACGCTGACCCGCTTGCTGATAATGATGACGATGCTTCTAAGCTACGAGGCGCTATTGCAAGGGCAAATAGGTCACGCAGATATAGTCCATATGGAAGTAGTCAGACTTTTCCACCACCACGTGCTCAGTCCCAGCCAAGGCCACTTTTTCAACAACGGGCGCCCTTTCGTGGGTATTCACCAAGATTTGAGAGCTATTTCCAAACAAATATCCCGGGAAACGTGCAAAGAAATCAGGGATTTACAGGTCATTGCTTCTACTGCAATCTGCCCGGACACTTTGCCAGAGACTGCCCGTACACCCAGAGATTCATGGCTAGTAAGCTGCAACCCTCCGCCACAACAGAAAACCAGACGCCAGTATCGGAAAGTAGAGTTAAGTATTTTAATTCATATGTTTCCAAAAAATTCGAGAAAAATGATATAATTTCAGTCAAAGACAGTATCAATAGACACATTGATTTTTGGGTAAAAAATCTCAAAGTTAATACATTTATAGAAGACGTTATAAGAAACGGATTTAAGATTCCGTTTGAGACATTGCCTAGTTCTGTTTATTTAAGAAACAATCTTTCTTCTGTGAAACATCATAAATTCGTTTCGTCAGCTATTTCTGAACTTTTAGAAAAGCAATGCGTTATTGAAGTTAAAAGTAAACCTTTTTGTGTTAATCCGTTGACTGTTTCAGTAAACTCAAATGGTAAAGAGAGGCTTATTTTAGATTTACGTCATATTAATAAGCACGTGTTAAAAAGGAAAGTCAAGTTTGAAGGTCAGAAAGAAGCTTTAGATTTTTGTCAAAAGGGTAATCTAATGTTTAAGTTTGATTTAAAATCTGGCTATCATCACGTATCCATAAATAAAGAATATCAAACTTACTTAGGATTTTCTTGGGTAGAGAACGGTGTTCATAAATATTTTGTTTTTACAGTTCTCCCTTTTGGAATATCTATAGCTCCATGGTTGTTTACTAAACTTTTAAGGCCATTGGTTAAATACTGGAGAGGAATGGGGATTAAGATTATTGTATATCTGGATGACGGTTGGGGTACAGACAGCCCAGAATTATGCTATAAAGTAAGTTCACAGGTTAGGGAGGATTTAATTAGAGCAGGTTTAATAGCTAATGAAGAAAAAAGTCAATGGGAACCTTGTTCCGTCCTAGAATGGTTGGGAAGTTTGTGGGATTTATCTAAAGGTCTTGTAGAAATTCCAATTAGAAAAATTGAAAAGCTTAAGCACATGATTTTAAGTTGTATGCAGAATCAAGGGAAATGTACAGCACGTTCATTGGCAAAAATAGTAGGAACAATAATATCAATGTCATTTTGTTTTGGGAATGTATGTCACATTATGACACGAAATCTTCATGTTCCCATAAGTAACAGCGTTTCTTGGGATGCAATTGTTTCGCTAGATTCCCCGTCCTTGGCAGAGTTACATTTTTGGTCTAAGAATTTAGAGTTACTTCCCTTTAGGTCGTTAGTGTCTCTCGGTAGAATGCCAGAGAGAATTTTGTTCGTCGACGCCAGCAATCAGGCGGCGGCGGGAGTTTTATTAAGCTCAATTAAAAAAGTTTCTAGAGTCTCATTTACTGAAATAGAGGTTAAACAGAGTTCAACATTTAGAGAGTTACGTTCCTTAGAGTTCGCATTACAGTCCTTTGAGAAACATTTGAGTGGTAAATTTGTTAAGGTTTATACTGATAATCAGAATATAGTTAGAATTTGCAGTCGTGGAAGCACAAAAGTTATTTTGCAGGCTATTGCAAAAAGAATATTTGACTTCTGTGTACAACACAAAATACTCTTGGAATCATCTTGGGTTCCAAGAGATATGAATGTACAGTACAGATATCGAGGAATATGCAAATTCCTCCGAGGATCGAGGAAAACACTCGCAACTCCGCGAGAGTATTTGTCCATAAAAACGAGTGACTCCGCGTGAGAAACGTGTGATGAAAGTGACTCCGATACGAAAATAAAAGCGCGTGACTCCGAGAGAGAATTACCGCGTAACTCCGTGTCGGTGTCTAGCTGGTGTAAATAAATGCAAGTGCAATCTCATTTTATATTTAATTTAATTCTTTAGATTACCATTCGAAAATAAAGATGATTTTTACGGTTGTTGTTTTCAATTTACCCTGAAACAGTGGAAAGGTACATTTGATTAGAAAAAATCACTACCGTAAGCGTCATCAGTTCTCAAGTTTATTTTTATCCCGATTAATTAGGTCGGTAGCAATAACCACAGGAACCCGAAATTCTATCAAAAACATAAAGCGATTTAAAAAATCCATATAATAACGGCCCAACATTTTTTTATACTTCTTTAAGAAATGAATTAATTATATAAACTTCTTAATCTTAAATGTTTCTAAATGCATCAAATACCGATAATGTGCCGTTCTAATTTATTTCAGGTGCAAAAATATTGTGTTGTGTTTTTTTTTTTTCAATGTGGAAAATGAGTTTCGATCTTCATAATATTTTAATCATTGATAACATGTGCACATCAAAAAAATTGACTTTCCCAACTTTTATATTGGTTTGTATAGTTTTAAAAATTGTCATGATGTGCATGTACGTTTCTTCATAATCCATTGTTTACATGTATTTTAGTTACGTGTCAACCTGTCACATCCGCCGTTTTAATTAGAAGACACTTGATTTATATATAATTTTTGAGAATTACCATTAACTTAATCGTTTCTAAATAAAGCTGCATAAAAATTAGTAATATATTGTTGTAATTTTATTCCAAGAATATCTCCGAAAATCTGTCGGTATCATTCTGTTATCAAAGTCATATGTAGATGTATGTTGATATTGATATCAAAAGTCATGATCATTATTAAATTAAGATTTTTGTTTTTTATTTCAGGCATTATGGAGGAATTCAAGAGTTATAGAGGTGTTAACAAGTTGACAGAGGCCGTTCAACTTACCTAGCGCACTGCTCCCGTAATTCATTCACATGTAATCAGCATTACAAAAATTGACAAAAAATAAAAACAGCAAAGAATAAAATGATCATTTTATTTGTCTTTTTGTTTTATTTGTTTATGGTTTTTACATCATCTATATCATGTCATTTTATAAAAATAAAAAACAGTTTTGACAAAGATTTAACTACTTCCGATTTCACGTACATGTACTGTTCATAGACAATAAAACAATATTTTTATAATAGCATATGAACATATTTGATCGTCACAGCAAGCGGGCATGCATTGTACATGTACGTATGTGGATTGAAAAAGACCGCCATGCCTTTAAAAAATCACTGCCAATCTCAATGTTCTTGTTTTATAATTCATGGTTTTATTTTTGAGACGACGCAGCGCCTGTTGTTTCCCCCCT